CAAAAAAAAAAAAAAAAAAAAAAAAAAAAAAAAAAGCAGGTATGGTGGTGCATGCCTATAGTCCTCACTATTCTGGACGCTGAACCTGAGGTGGAAGGTGTTTGGAGCTTCAGTGAGCCAGGATCACACCACTGCACTTCACCTGTGTGTCAGAGAGTAAGACTTTTTCTCTTAAAAAAAAAAAAAAAAAAAGTTCCAAAGTGGAAGCACTTCCTGAGTTTTTGGTCTTTGGGATGATAAAGAATTTGTTTTGCTTTATCTTGGTACACTGAAATTTAATTCATGACTTCAGAAGGACACAGCAGGGATGAAGCCACATCAGATCCTCAGAATAAAAGAGAAAAGATATGATTTGGGTTGCTCAAGACCACACAACCAATGTCAGATGAGGTTTAAACTACGGTGTCCTTGCACTTCATTCACTTTTCTCTTCGTTGGTCGTACCTCTGTTCCATATGTCTTTATTTTTTATAGAACTGACCACCTTTTTTTTTTTTTTTTTTTTTTTAGATGGTTTTGTTACCCAGGCTGGAGTGCAATGGCATGATCCTAACTCACTGCAGCCTAGACGTCCCAGGCTTAAGCAATCCTCTCACTTCAGCCTCCCAAGTATTTGGGTCTACAGGGATGAGCTACCATTCCTGGCTAATTTTTAAAAAGTTTATTTTTTTAAATATCTGTATCCGTAGCAAAAACCTACAGAGAGGTTCTTGCTATGTTACCCAGGCTCGTCTCAAACTCCTGCCCTCAGGTGATCCTCTTACCTCGGACTTCCATAGTGCTTAGAGTACAGGCCTGAGCCACAGCATCCACCCTAGAATTGACCACTTAGTACCGAGATCAGTTCAGTCATGGAGACCCCAAACCAGCAGCACTGAAGGAATTAAGAAACAAACACAAAGATACAGTGCAAAGTGGGATCAGGGTGCTAACAGCTTTCTGAGCTGAGCGCCTTGAACAGACTCTGACCCACATATTTATTCTCTGTCAAACAGGTGATTAACGAGCAGGTGTGCTGTGTTTTCTCACAGCACATGAGCATTCTCCACAAGGGAGCAATGGGGGCAGGGTCACGTATCCTGTGTTTAAAGAATTGGCTTAACCATCATATGATATGCATACATTTTCCACTACTTCAAAACACCCTGAGCGTTTTCTGCTTGGGGGCCAGCTTGGTTTTCCTTGCTGTCGTTCTCAGTAAACAATATAATCTGTCACACGCATTAGGACTTGTCCCAGCAACATAGTGCTCCAATTTTTCCCCATCCTGAGGATGTGAGGCGCTCACTTGCATAAGATTTTTGTTATCAGAATCTCAGACTTCCCTGAGTGTGAGGGTGACAGGTAAGTTGATTATACATTTTGGCCTTTACTTTCTACATAAGGCAGACCCTAATCTTAACCATATGTGGCATTAGTTTCATTTATTTTGTCCACTGGCCACATAAGGGCCAAGGTTATTTTAGTTTTATGGAATGTTTTTGGTGTCCATCCCTACCATTCATTTTCCACCTCATTGAAAGAAGCTCAGCCCAAACTATTAAAGTCCAGATTACTGTTTCTAGTTACTTGTTCTACCTAGGGTACCTCACTCCAGACTTAATCTCTTCCACACACTATAGCCTGCCGAATTGGAGATTCTTTGAACCCTAATGTTTGAGGAATAAATAATTAGACCTAGGCTCTCTGGCTTGTGGCTTGTGGGATGTTAGGGCTAGAGGGAAGAACTTGCTCTCTGATTCCAAACAAATGCTGAGAATATGACACCCAGAAAGTCAAGGAAACGTAACATTATTGATACATGGCATGTCAACTGACAGTTTTACAAAGGGTCACTTTTTAGCCAAAGATAGAGATGGCCTGTCTGTGGCACCATCATTCCTGATTTGTGTCCGAAAAGGACTCCATTTTGGGAAAACAGCCATCTGGAGATTGGAATGGGTAGTTTTTTTTTTAGATGGAATCTCGCTTTGTCACCCAGGTTGGAGTGCAGTGGCGTAATCTCGGCTCACTGCAACCTCTGCCTCCTGGGTTCAAGCAATTCTCCTGCCTCTGCCTCCTGAGTAGCTGAGATTACAGGTGTGTGCCACCATGCCTGGCTAATTTTTGTATTTTTAGTAGAGATGAAGTTTCACCATGCTGGTCAGGCTGGTCTCAAATTCCTGGCCTCGTGATCTGCCTGCCTTGGCCTCCCAAAGTGCTGGGATTATAGGTGTGAGCCACTGTGACTGGTCTGGAATGGATAATTTCTCTGCTGCATCTCATTTACTCAGCAAGTGTTCACTACCATATGATGCACATTAGGGATATGATGGTATGCACACAGCCCTGTTGTCCTGAGCTTGCAGATCAGTAGGAATGCTTGGAAGTGAATAAGGTACTCTCTGCTCATGCCTTCATCTCTGGACTCTACCCATCAAGATAAGCCCATGTGTGCAAATATTTCCTGAGTTAGGGCCAGCAAGATCTGAAGTTTTGTAGAAAGGGATGGGTGTGCTACCTTCAGGCCTTGAAAAGTCACTGAAGCCAAGGCTGAACAATAGGGACTGAAGCTGGGATTTGAGAAACAGATCATAGTCCTAACATTCACCAAAGATTTAAAAAATACTAGATGTTCTTACTGATTCACACATATTAACCTCATTTAATCCTCACAACAACCCTATGAAATTTGGTATCATCATTATACCCAATAAGTGAGGAAGCAGGCACAGAGAGGTAAAGTTGTAAAGTTCAAACAACAAAAACCGGGGATTTAAGCCCAAAGTAGAGAGGTTTTTTTTTGTTTGTTTTTGCTTTTTGAGACAGTCTCACTCTTGTTACCCAGGATGGATGGCATGACCTAAACTCATTGCAAACTTCACTTCCCAGGTTCAGTTGATTCTCCTGCCTCAGCCTACCAAGCAGCTGGGACTACAGGCATACATACAAAATTAGCCTGGCTAATTTTGTATTTTTAGGAGAGATATGGTTTCGCTATGTTGGCCAGGCTGGTCTCGAACTCCTGACCTCAGGTGAACCGCCTGCTCCAGCCTCCCAAAGTGCTGGGATTACAGGCGTGAACCACCGCGCCTGGCCTGCAGAGCTCTTCTTTTGGCCACTTGAACAAACATCCTGGGTCACTAAACTCAGGGATTCCTGTGACAAGATTAGTTTTCTTACAGGTGAGAATGTGTGAGTAAGGTGGAAGCCAGTTTTGTGAAAGCCTTGAGAATCCCCAACGGACAGTAACATAGGAAGCTAAATGCAGCGGACCTGCAGGATGGACTGATGCACAGTAAGAGCTCCTTGTGGTCGACCCTCTGACTTCCATTCCGTCTCCCTGTGCTGGAAGACGCCCGTCAGGTCGGCTCGCAGGCGGTTTCTAGGGCCGGTCTTCCCCGGCGCAGGACCGAAATCCTCCGCTTTCCGGCAGGGAGGAACCACCGAGAGGAAGCCACTCCCGCCTTCCTAGAGAGGAGATGGTAGCCGTTATTGGCCGAGAGGCGCGGACTGCTGACGTCACGCCGGCGTGGGGCGTCAGGGACTTGCCGCATTCCGCCAGGCAGCGTCCAGAGACCTGAGTGTTGCTAGGTGCAAGAGGGGAGCGCCGCAGGAAGCGCACGGTGAGCTGTTTCTGCTGTGTCCGGCTGCTGTGGGTAGACTCCAGCGTCTCCCTCGGGACGCAGGGCCTCTTCCATCCCGGAAGGCCTTGGGAGCAGAGGCAGGGGGCCTGGGGCAAGCTTGCCATGAAGAAAGGAGAGGTTGTTCAAGAGCCCTAGGCTGGGAGTCGGGGGACCTGGGTTCGATTTGTACATACTTCAGCAAGTCAGTGAACTTTTGGGCACTTTACTTTTCTGATTTCCAGAAGTGAATACTGTTTCCTGCCTTGCCGTTTCCAAAGTTATGCGGGTTGACATAAGTATATGCAAGAGTTATCACCTTTCCTTCATTATTTATTCTTAACAGCAACAAATTACGTACTCTATGAAGACTTGTAGACACTATAATAATACGTTAACAGCAGGCATTATTTAAAGCTTACCAGCTAGCATTCTTCTAAATAGTTGCCATGGAGTTACCCACTCATTCGTCACCACAACCCTGTAAAGTACTTACTGTTATCTCCATTTAACCGTTGAAAAGCGGGAGCAAAAAAAGATTAGGTAACTTGTTCAAAAGTCCTAGCCCCAGAACCCATGCCATACTTGTAAGTTTGGTGGAGGAAGATAATATAATCAGAGCAGAAAGTCCCACAGTAGAAACACGTAAAATTCTTTGAGAATGTAGAGGAGAAGGTGCCTTGGAAAAGTAATTCTTTGAAAATGTAGAGGAGAGGGTGCCTTGGAAAAATTAAGAAAAATGTCCCACAAGGAAGAGGTGTCGAGGTTTACATTAGAGCTAAATATTAAAGGTTGATGACAAGCTTGAAAATAATCGGTGTCTTATTTGATCAAACGGGGAAAAAAAGAGAAGTTTGAAAATAATTAAACAGTTTGTTCAGTGTCAGTTAAAATATGCGAGTGGATTGGGATGTTAGACAGGAAACAAGGTTCCTGCCTTCGAATGCAGTGTTCTTTACATTAGGAGGGGTTCTTGAAACCTTTTCCTTATGAAGGGTCCTTAACATCTTGCAGCAGATACTCCTCACACAAAGGCAATCCTCTTATTTTACAGAAATTCCCCCAGTTCTAATTATAGGAGGATAACTGACAGTAAGCTTCCCTGCTATTGATTCAGCCGGTTCTGAACAAGACCCACTCTCCTCACTGCTAGCTCATTTAGTACTTTCAAATAATGAATAAATAGACTCAATCAAAGATGGACTGGAAGGGCTTGGTTTGAGGTTTTTGCTCTTTTCCCATCTGTATATACAATCAAAGCACTGCAGAATGTTGATACTAGAGGAAGCTTTCAATATTTTCTAGATTTTCAGTTTTATTTAACAAATAACAAATGGATGAGAGTGAGTGGCCTGCTTCAGATTTCTGAATAAATTAGTGACAGCTGAGACTAGAATCCACACCTCTTGACTGAGTCCATTTCTGGTCCTACTGCCTTCTGCTGTAGTCCTGCAGGACTTTTGAAATCAATGGCTTTTCCAGTAGGCTCTGGGGAGCCTTTGGGCCCCAAGCTGATCTCCTGTAAAGAAATACTTACTCCAGATGCTTAGTCCTTAGAAGGACCTGCCCTCTTTCTTTGTGCATTGCCACATCTCCCTGAAGTCTACCCACTCACTAATTTTTGTCATTGGTGATACTCCTCTAGGATAATAATGATATTAAACTCCTGGCCTCAAGTGATCCTCCTGCCTCAGCCTCTCTCTTTTTTTTTGAAGACAGGGTTTCACCATGTTGGTCAGGCTGGTCTTGAACTCCCGACCTCAGGTGATCCACCCACCCTGGCCTCCAAAGCGCTTGGATTACAGGCGTGAGCCACTACGCCTGGCCCTGCCTCAGCCTCTCAAAGTGTTGAGATTACAGGTGCAAGCCACCATGCCTGGCCTATATTATATACTTCTATATTATCTAAATATTTTAAAGTGAGATTATATATATGTAATTTACATGATTAGAAAACTAAGATAAAAATGGGCTTCAGAGAATAAGGATGTGTTACTGTCCAGCACCACCTAGGGAAGAGGTTGCTCTGATGTGCAGCACCTGAATGTTTATTCTTTAATTCTGTGTGGCTTATTTAGGGCACCAGGGTTTCAAAATTTGATGATCATTTAATTATGATCAATTAAGTAATTTATTCTTTCTCCAGTTCTTTATTTCCCAAAGAGTGCACTGAAGACAATGATTTGGTTCCCAGACAGTTTCTCTGAAGTCCAGAGAATGTGTTAACCAGCTCTATATTGAGCATAAAAATTTTTCCTTGTAAATAAGTAAAGTCACTTTATGTTCTATCTCATTCCCCTTGTGAAGCTGATTAATATACTTCAGATTCTGAAGTATTTCTTTGGCTACAAAGGTGAGGGCCAGCTCTTGGACCATGATGCTGTAGTCAAGTTACTGTCCAATTAAAGCTGCTTCTTTAAGGACCACTTCTCTAATTTTCCTGAAACAAAACAGCAATATCTTATTCTCTTTCTGTAAGCAGGACTTTAGTTTTCAAACCCATGTGTTTCCAGTTGGACCTAGGGAGAGAACTATAGATGGCGAATGTTTTGTAGAGAAAGAGAGATCCAAAGCAACACCTGTAAAAGTGACTGAATAAGGAAGGATTGGTGAGATAGGCCTATTGAAAGTTACAGCCTGGATCACATTTGAAATCTTAGAAGGGAAACTCTTTGATTATCGCTGATAGGTAACCTAAGGAAATTGAATTATTATTCCTCTGTTTTTTGAGTAGAGACTGTAAGTGGACAATAAGTTTCCCTAACACTTAATTTTCCCAAGTCTAGGATACTTATTCCTTTCACATTTTCCAGTTATTTATGACTGTGGATGGATGCAAATCTGGATGATCCCAAATTACCTGGGTTAGTTTTTAGTATTTGATTGTTTCAGAATCAATCATGATAGGGAATTTTATAGAATTTCTAAGACCTGTCACTACTTAATCTCTTTCTTCAGAGAGGCTGATCATCAGGAGTTCACTTTTGGAGAAATTGAGAAAGCATGCTGAACAAGGAAGAGGAAGGGAAATCCTTCAGGGATGAAGGAGAGGATAGTAATGCATGTGTGTGAGCACACACAAACAGTAACCTTTCCTAGGAGAACAGTATTACTATATGAATTTGGTGTTATAAGCAGCATGAATTGCAGCCAAATATCACTCAAAATGAAACATCGGAGCGTTAACATGCAGAAGAAACCTTCAAAGTGTAGTGAATGTGGAAAGTTCTTTACTCAGAGATCATCTCTTACCCAGCACCAGAGGATTCACAGAGGAGAGAAGCCCTATGTGTGCAGTGAATGTGGAACTTGTTTCCGCAAACAGTCAAATCTTACTCAACATCTGCGAATTCATACGGGAGAGAAACCTTATAAATGTAATGAATGTGAGAAAGCCTTTCAAACAAAAGCAGTTCTTGTTCAGCATTTGAGAATTCATACTGGAGAGAAACCCTATAAATGCAGTGAATGTGGAAAAGCCTTTTGTCAGAGCCCATCCCTTATTAAACATCAGCGAATTCATACTGGAGAGAAACCTTATAAATGCACAGAATGTGGCAAAGCCTTCAGTCAGAGCATATGCCTTACTCGGCATCAGAGGAGTCATTCTGGAGATAAACCTTTTAAGTGTAATGAATGTGGGAAAGCCTTTAATCAGAGTGCATGCCTCATGCAGCATCAGAGAATTCATTCAGGAGAGAAGCCCTACACATGCAGTCAGTGTGGTAAAGCCTTCACTCAGAACTCTTCCCTTGTTGAACATGAAAGGACTCACACTGGAGAGAAACTTTATAAGTGTAGTGAGTGTGAAAAAACTTTCCGCAAACAAGCACACCTTAGTGAGCATTACAAAATTCATACTGGAGAAAAACCTTATGAATGTGTTGGATGTGGAAAATCCTTTAGGCACAGTTCAGCACTTCTTCGACATCAGAGGCTTCATGCTGGAGAGTAAAATTTGGAATATAATGAGTATGGAAAGATTTGTATGAAAGCATCTTTTTTTTTTCTCTTAAATTCCTGGGACTATAAGACTCAATCTGCAGCTAGTATGAATATTTTATATTTTGAACAAGAAGTAACGTGTCCTAATCTGGAGTTTGATGCCTTATCTGCTGCTCAATGCGTGTAACCTTATCCCCTCTGAGCCTCAGTTTCCCTGTCCCCCAATAGAAAAATGGGGATATTTCCTAGGGTTGTGTTGAGAATAAAATGAGTTCTGTGTGACAGTTAACTGCCATTAATTAGCTGTTCTAAAAGTTTATTTAAAATATTAAAATCTGACTGGCAAATCAGCATTGTCGTTTGGTTCCATAATGTATTATTTCTTAAGGACATTTTGTAATTGGGCTGTGATTTCATTATTAATCTGCAGAAGTCTATTTAAACTGTATGTCTAGGTTTAAATAGGATAATATAATCTAGACTGGTTTATCCTTGAGAAATTTCAGATTTAATAAGAGGAAAAAAATTACTGATTGAGATTTAAGTGGACATTTTGAGGTGTACTTCTGGATACCCTCAAGATCTTCATTTAGGTTGTGATACTTTTTATTACTAGGTCTAATTTGACTTTAAGCTCTAAGTTTTACTTTTGCATTAAAAGGAAAGCCTCTCTGACATTAACTAAATAAAACCTCAAGTTGTGGGACTTCTGTGTGTGTTTAGGATTGGCAGCAGATGATTAAGAGAAGGCGTAGGACAGTAGAGAGGACTGGAATACAGAGGAGAATATAAGCATGTAGATGAGGATGTGGCTGTATTTGTTTTGAGTTCTAGGAGCAGAGCACCAAATGTAGTCTCTTAAGGGAAGATGAGGTTAGAAGATACTAAGATCCCAGGTTCCAGCAAGCTATGCCACTGACTAACAACTAGCCACTTGTCAAAGGAAGGAGAGAACAGTGTTTTGGGGAAGCTGATGGGTTGGAGTGCCTAATTAAAAGACTGGCTCATTAAAAGCCATAAAAAAGCAAAGAAAGGATACTTTTAATGGTGCATTAGGCTGTGCTAGGCTCTTTAATGTAAACAAGCACCTCTAATGCTAAAAGCATCCTTGCAAGAAAGGTAGGAGTTAACTATTCACATCCTATAGTCAAGGAAAAAAGAGTTTGACTTTCTGAAAGTTAAACAGGTAATGTCAGTTGAATCTCAAATATGTATCTTATTATCAAAAGTGTAGTTCTGGTTTCTATAATACCAAAGTCACATGCAGGTAATTTCCTACCATTAAACCTTGCTATTAATGTGAGATGCCAAATTTGTCAAAACCATTCTTAAAAAGTAAAGATTGATTTTTTTCAACTTAATGTGTGCTTATTGAAATACATTGATAAAATTAGAGAAATGAAAAAAAAGTGCATACTTTCAGCAAATAGTCACCTTAGTGTATTTATTCTAGCCTTCCTTTTCTGCATAGCTCTTTTTGCTTCCCTTTTAAGAATAATTACAATTGTACTATATTAGAGTACTATAGCCTACTTTTTAACATAACACTGTAGCAGTATGTTAGGCTTTCTATAAACTTTATTTTAATGGTTGCCCAACATGTCATTGGTCTGTTCACAATTTTTTGACCTGTTCCCCATCTGTGTGATATTTATATTCATATATATATATTTTATAAATCAGAATCTGCTAATGATGGTGCCTGTCATGGTGTGAGTTCCCATTAGTAATATTCATTTGGCAGTGAAATAGCTTTATATATAATATTTTTACCATTTAAAAATTATTTCCTGAGGATTTTCAGAGGGCTTAATCTTTTTACTTATTTATTATTTTATTTATTTATTTTTTTGAGACAGAGTCTCGCTCCATTGCCCAGGCTGGAGGGCAGTGACGCAATCTTGGCTCACTGCAACGTTTGCCTCCCAGGCTCAAGCGATTCTCTTGCCTCAGCCTCCTGAGTAGCTGGGTATACATGCACATGCCACCATGCATGGCTACTTTTTGCATTTTTAGTAGAGACATGGTTTCACCATGTTGGTCAGGCTGGTCTCAAACTCCTGACCTCGTGATCTGCCCACCTTGGCCTCCCAAAGTGCTGGGATTACAGGCGTAAGCCACCACACCTGGCCTTACTTATTTTTAAAATTTCATTCATCTTTTTGACTGGATAATACAAGCTTATGGCTTAAAATTCTAAAAGTACAAAAAGTTGAACAGTGAAAAGTCTTCCAGTCAGCCACCTGCTTGTCCCCTCATTGTCATAGACAACCAATTTTATGTTTGTTGTTTTTCTTACAAAGATCAGTATAATTAAGCAAACATCTTTCTCTTAAGACTGTTTTTAGTGCAGTTTTGAATGTATAGTGAAATTGAGTAGAAAGCAGAACGTTCTCACATATCCCCTGCCCAAAGAGACGCATAGTCTGCCTGTTAGCATCCTCCACCAGAGTGGTGCAACCTACTTTTAACACATTACCACCCAAAGTCATAGTTTACATTAGGGTGCACTCTTGATTTTGTATATTCTATGGATTTTGACATATAGAATGATATGCATGCATCCATTATCGTTTCATAAAGAGTTGTTTCACTTCTCTAAAAATGCTCTGTGTTCTGCCTATCCCTCCCTCCATGCTAACCCATGGCAACGGCTGATTTTCTTTTTCTTTTGAGATGGAGTCTGGCTCTGTTGCCCAGGCTGGAGTGCAGTGGCGCAATCTTGGCTCACTGCAACCTCCACCTCCTGGGTTCAATTGATTCTCCTGCCTCAGCCTACTGAGTTGCTGGGACTACAGGCACATTGCCACCACAACTGGCTAATTTATTTATTTATTTATTTATTTATTTACTTGAGACTGAGTTTTGCTCTTGTTACCCAGGCTGGAGTGCAATGGTACAATCTCTGCTCACCACAACCTCTGCTTCCTGGGTTCAGGCAATTCTCCTGCCTCAGCCTCCTAGTAGCTGGGATTACAGGCATGCGCCACCATGCCCAGCTTTTTGTATTTTTAGTAGAGATGGGGTTTCACCATGTTGACCAGGATGGTCTCTTATCTCCTGACCTCATGATCCACCCACCTCGGCCTCCCAAAGTGTTGGGATTACAGGTGTGAGCCACCGTGCCCAGCCCAATTTTTTTGTATTTTTAACAAAGACGGGGTTTCACGTTGTTAGCCTGGATGGTCTCGATCTCCTGACCTCGTGATCCACCCAATTCTGCCTCCCAAACCACTGATCTTTTTACTGTCTCCATACTTTTCCCTATTCTAGAATGTCATATAGTTGCAACCATTAAGTATGTAGTATTTTCAGGTTGGCTTTTTTCACTTAGTAGTATGCATTTAAGGTTCTCCCATGTCTTTTCATGGCTGGTTAGCTCATTTCTTTTTAGTGCTGAATAATATCCCATTGTATGGATGTACTATATTTACCCATTCATTGACTGAAGAACATGTTGTTTGCTTCCATCTTTTGTCATTTATAAATAAAGCTGCTGTAAATATTTGCTTGAAGTTTTTGTGTGCACATATGTTTTCAGCTCATTTTGGTAAATTATTAAGGTGTGAAATTGCTGGATTATATTGTAAGAGTATGTTTAACTTTATAAGAAATTGCCAGAAGTCTGCAAAATGGCTGTACCATTTTGAATTCCCATCAATGATGAAGTAGAGTTCCTGTTGCTCCACATCCTTGCCAGCATTTTGTGGTATTGGTGTTTTTGGATTTTAACCTTTCGGGTTTTTTTGTTTGTTTGTTTGTTTGTTTTGAGACTGAGTCTCTATTGTCCAGGCTGGAGTGCAGTGGCATGATCTCGGCTCACTGCAGTTTCTGCCTCCTGGGTTCAACCAATTCTTGTGCCTCAGCTTCCCAAGTAGCCAGGATTACAGGTGCCTGCCACCATGGCCAGCTAATTTTTGTATTTTTCATAGAGGCAGGGTTTTACCATGTTGGACTGGTTGGTGTTGAACTCCTGACCTCAAGCGATTCGCCTACCTCAGCCTCCCAAAATGCTGGGATTACAGGGGTCAGCCACCACACACGGTTTGTAACTGTTCTAATAGGTATGTAGTGGTATTCATTGTTTTGATCTGCAGTTCACCAATAATATATGATTTTAGCATATTTTCATGTTTGCCATCTGTATAGCTTTGGTCAGATATCTGTTAGGGGTTTTGCCCATTTTTTAATCAGATTGCTCATTTTCTTATTATTGAATTTTAAGGGTTCTTTGTATATTTTGTATAAGAGCCCTTTATCAGAGAGGTCTTTTGCAAATATTTTCTCCCAGTCTGTGGCTTATTTTCTCAATCTTTGATTCCCTCTCTTTAGTTTTTTTTCTAAAACAAATGGTAGCATAATATACACAGTTGTCCATTTTAATTTTTTTAAGACTAATCCATCTCATTGTTCTATATCAGTAAATAAAGATTTTACCCCCACCCTTGCCCAATATGTCATTATCTTAATAGATCATTATTTAATTAGTTCCCTATTAGTGGACATTTAATAGCTTTTATTTTTCTATTATAAACAAAACTGCATATGCAGCATCCTTGTCTTTAGGGACATGTGCAAGATATTCATAAGATAATTTCCAAGCCAGGCATGGTGACTCACACCTGTAAATCTCAGCACTTTGGGAGGCCAAGGTGGGTGGATCATTTGAGGTCAGGAGTTCCAGACCAGCCTGGCCAACATGGTGAAACCCATTTCTACTAAAAATACAAAAATAATTAGCCAGCACAATGGCAGGTACCTGTAGTCCCAGCTACTCAGGAGGCTGAGGCAAGAGAAATCACTCGAACCTGGGAGATGAAGGTTGCAGTGAGCCGAGATTGCACCATTACACTCCATCCTGGGTGACAGAGCAAGACTATGTCTGGAAAAAAAAAAAGAAGTATGTGCCTTGGTCGTTTTGATAGATATTGTGACCTTCCAGATGTTTAACTAGTTAATCCTCCCACTAACAATGGATGAGAGGTGTGCTCAGTAAAGCATATAAACAATTGCTCAACAATTCTTTTGTACCAAAAAAGTTCCTTTTTAATTTCCAACTCACCCCACATTGTTGACAGAATTTCCACCTGCTAGCTAGGAGGCTGAGGAAGGAGGGTCAGTTGAGCCCAGGCATTTGAGACCAGCCCCAGCAACAGAGCAAGACCTCAAAAAAAAAAAAAAAAAAACCACCCTGATTTGATTTTAATGCATTGTATGCCTGTATCAAAATATTTATTCCATACATATATACACCTACTATGTGCCCACAAAAATTGAAAAATAAAAAAATTTCCAACTGTTATTTGAGTAACCAACATAACACATTTGAATCCATTTGCAATGCAGTTGTCACATTCATAGTGATTCTGCATAGGATCAAGCAAGCATTTTACTCCCTATGTGTTCTAACTGCAGTCATGCCCAAGCCTTTACATACTGAAATATATATTGTTTTTGTTATAAATTACATTATTTTTAGGTTAAGGTAGGAGATTTATTGATTTTTAAGTTCATATTAAGTTAGGAGATTTATTGATTTTTTAAAGTGTGTGTATATAGGTAGTTTATATTTCCTAGGAGTTTCATTTTAGGGTAGTAAAGGTGGTATTATAAAAATATCTGTGTAGGCTGGCGGCAGTGGTGCACACCTGTAATTCCAGTGCTTTGGGTGGCTGAGGCAGGAGATCACTTGAGTGCAGGAGTTCCAGGCTGCAGTGAGCTGTGATCTTGCCACTGCACTAGAGCCTGGGTGGCAGTGAGACTCTGTCTCTAAAAATGCTGTGTAATATGAGGGCATTGGTTTTGAGGGGGCGTACTGAAAGCTTCATGGCATATATTAGAAAATGTAGAAAATGTGCTAACATGAGACTAGAGTTTGACCCCTAGAAGTATGGCCTTAGATAAAGTACTGAACCTTGCCCCCTTTTATCCGTAAAATGGAAATGAGATACTATTAATAATACTCCAGGACTTCTGTAAAAAATACACAATAATAACATTTGAGATGGATCATAGATATATACATAAAATCCAGGACCATAAAGCTTCTAGATGAAATTTTAGAACATTATTTTTGCAAACATTAGGTAGGCAAAGATTTATTGAACAGAAGAAAGCATTAGCCATAAAATAAAAAGCTGATAATAGTTTCATAAAACCAATAAATTAATGAAAATGAAGACTATTCTGTCACTAAGAGAAACCTTTAAGAAAATTAACAGACAAGCTACAGGCTGGGGAAAATATTTATAATAGATATATTAACAAGGGATTTGTATCCGTGATTTATAAACAGCTCCTACTAAGGCCTAGGATTGTGGCCTCTTTAATACTGGACCTTGGTTGCCCTATCCTTG